TCTTTTTCTGTGGCCCACAGAAACTAGGGAAAAGTGTCATGAGTCACCTTCAGACTCTCTCTGGAACCTTAAAACCAGGTCAAAATACTCGACTCAGATCTGGACTTTAACAGCCATACTGAACCAGTAACATCTGCAGCTTTAACCATAAAAAAAAAACATCCACAAATAGAGGAATAGCGTCTAAACCGGAGCGAGAAAGACTGATCCAGCAGGTTAGACTGTAGCAATAGCTGCTCACTGGGCTCTGATCCAGCTGTGATCCAGCTGCAGAACATGCAGAACATCTTTGGCTCTAAACAAGAACCAGGAAATGGGACCATATCAGTCCAGTTCAGGTCTCTGCTCTGTTTTTCTGTGGGTCACAGACTTTAAAACAGGTTTCTTCATGGTCTAAGGTCCTGTTGGGTCTAAATACGACTCCTAGTTCCTCACTATCAAGAGTTTAGTTATTATTCAATAGACCCAGGAAGAGGCATCGGAATAAAAAGGCTTGACACAGAGGTTAAGTTTTTCTCAACTGCAGAAGAGGGAGAGACTGTGTGGCCAGAGAATGCCACACATAGAATCTCACCTACATTTCTCTAGCCGTTGATTTTTATTAGACTGATAGTTGCTAAGCAGTGTACATATTATGGGATAGGAAAGTATTGGACGTCATGCCCTTGTCAGGTTTTTCCCGGTAGTTGGCCTGTTGACGTCCAGACCTTGGAAGATACAGATGGTAGACAGATGGGAGTCAAAACACACATATTTTAGCTTATCACTAATGTAAATACGAAAAATAGCTTCTACAGGTCCATCTGAGAATCAGGTTCTGGTCTCCAGCTGGCAACCAGAGTCAGAACCAGACCAGGAGAGGCTTCATTTCAGTTTCATGCATTTGTACATTCGGATCTATATTTTTAAAGTTTGTTCATTTGTACATTCGGATCTATTTTTAAAGACTCTATTTTTCAGTTTTATAATTTCTGTCATATATTTTTAATTTCTACATTTAGAAGTGTTGTGTTGTGCACCAAACACCAAGGCAAATTCCTTGTAAGTCTAAAAACATACTTGGCAATAAACCTTATTCTGATTCTGATTCTGATTCTGATTGTGTGCTGGCCTTCGGGGGATCGAATGAGGGGAATCTGCTCCGTCCTCCGGGACAAAGACCTGGTCAGAATCTGGGTCAGGGCTCGGCCCCCTGCCGGTCCCTCAGAGTCCAGCTCCTTCTGATTCAGATCAGGACTCCTGCAGCCTCCGACTGCCATCTTAGATCCTGTAGACAAAAAGAGAGAGAAAAGAACAAAGAAAGACAACAAAACCAAACAACCAGCTGCCATATCTATAAAAAACACACCAAAACAAAACAGGGAAGCCAAAAAAACACAAAAAATAAGCAACAAAAGCCACAGGCGTCTTATTTCTGACTCTGCATCTTCAAATCTAAACCCTCCTACATATCCCAGTGGTGGGATGACACTTTAATCTCATTTTATCATCTTAGATTCAGCCGTTTTTTATTGTTTTTGATGGTTTTTACTTGTATTTATCGCCTGTTGTGGCGGTTGCTCTATAAATAAAGTGCTTTTCTGTTTCTGTCCCTGACCCTGAACGTCTCCTTTTGCTGAGGAGTCTGCTGCCTTTGCTGTCATGTGCTTTATGTTTTCTGTAAAATTAGAGGAGATGACGTCTTTTAATAAAGGATAAGAGGTTTGAAAAGGGCCCTGCAGAGACTCCACAGACTCCTGGCAAAGGGTCATAATCCCCTCAGAATACTGAACAATCTCCGTCCATCTTCCCTCGCAGCTCTTTGTGAGAGGCGTTTTCATCCCTATCTGGGAGCCCTCTTTGTTATTTACTTTTTAGGGAGTTTTCAGCCACTTTTCCAGGTTTGGGATGGAAAAACCGAGGGTTTTAAAGGAGAAATGGGTCACCAGTTCCCCCTGCCTGGAGCAGGAGTGGAGAACTCCAGCTAATCACAACAAAAAGTCAGTAATTGATTAACTGGTGCTCGTCCTGTTCACAGATCAAAGCCCAGTGTGGTCGACCCAGATGCTCCAACTGACTCAGGAACAAAGGAGGATTTTCTTAGAGAAGAAAAAAACAATGACTCACAGAAGACGCCAAATCGCTGGAACACACTCCATTATTTCTCAGCTGATAGTCTTTAAACCACAAGAAAATCTAAAAATCTGATTGTTTCAATCGATTTCTGAGACAATTCTACTCTCTTTTGATATGCGACATGACCACCTCCCCATTGGAGGACCTCGATCTTGATCCAAAATGGCGGCTTTCAAGATGGCGGCTTTCAAGATGGCCGCCATGTTGCAGACAGCTGGGGCCTTCAGGTGAAGCGTTTTACCTTTAATTTCTGTGACTTTTGACCTCTGAAACTCAGATCTTTGTAGGTTTTTAATGCTGAAATCTGGCTAACGGGCTCAGAACGGTTTCAACCGACCCTCAACACAAACTCACAGACTCACAAAAATCCAATTACACAACTCTTGAGCATTTAAAGCTTACTATTACTATTACTGCTATCATTACCATTAGTATCAATAACTTTACCATTTTTCAGCCAGTCTGTGTTACTGTGTTGGCAGCCTCCCTCTGTCCTTCTCTCTCTCTCTCTCTCTCTCTCTCTCTCTCTCTCTGGTTCTGCTCCAGGTGTATTCCCCCTAAAGGCAGTTGTTTCCTCCCTGTGTCTCCTAGTGCTGCTCTTGGTGGAACTGTTGTTCTTCTGGAAATAACTCAGAGTCTGAGCTGCTCTGTTTGGAAAGCTGGAAGATTCCTGCTGTTGTTGGGATGTGGAGCTATGGGAATAAAATTTAATTTAATTTAATGGATATCAATGAATGATTTTCTGTGTTTTGTTTGCATTGAGCTCCACAGATTACACAACTCTGAGCATCTGAATTACCATCAGAATGCACATAAACACCAACACTAAACAGCTGAGTTGGTTCGAACATCAATATCTCTTATTAGCTCCTCGTTACCCATGAGGATGAATGATATCGATGAATGATTTTATTTTATTTCTCAGCATGGAGCTCCACAGATTACACAACTCTGAGCATTTCCAGCCATTTGTGGTGGTTATATTCAAATATCTGACCTCTGAAACTCAGATCTTTGTAGGTTTTTAATGCTGAAATGTGGCTAACGGGCTCAGAAAAGTTTAACCGACTCACAAACTCACAAAACTCACAGTTACGCAACTCTTGAGCATTTAAAGCTGCTGCAAAATGCACATCAAGACCAACACAAAACAGCATGAGTTGGTTCGAACATCAGTATCTGTGAACAGCTCCTCGTTACCCATGAGGATGAATGATGCCAGTGAATGATTTTCTGTTATTTCTCAGCATGGAGCTCCACAGATTACACAACTCTGAGCATTTCCAGCCATTTTTGGTGGTTATATTCAAATATCTGACCTCTGAAACTCAGATCTTTGTAGGTTTTTAATGCTGAAATGTGGCTAACGGGCTCAGAAAGGTTAAACCGACCCTCGACACAAACTCACAAACTCACAAAACTCACAAAACTCACAAAACTCACAGTTACACAACTCTTGAGCATTTAAAGCTGCTGCAAAATGCTCATCAACACCAAAACAAAACAGTCTGAGTTAGTTCCTAGTCTTCAACAACTACAGCCACTGTTCATGGTCTTATTGCTGTTATTACTATGACTAATATCATTATCATTACTATCAATATCTGAACCATTTTTCATCCAGTTTGTGTTACTCTCTCTCTCTCTCTCTCTCTCTCTCTCTCTCTTTCTGGTTCTGCTCCCGATTTGTTCCTCCTAAAGGCAGTTGTTTCCTCCCTGGGTCTCCTAGTGCTGCTCTTGGTGGGAACTGTTCTTCTGGAAATAACTCAGAGTCTGAGCTGCTCTGTTTAAAGCTGGGAGATAACTGTTATTTTGATGTGGTGCTCTAGAAATTAAATTAAATCTAATTGAATGGATATCGCTGAATTATTTTCTGTGTTTTCTTTGCATTGAGCTCCACAGATTACACAACTCTGAGCATTTGAATTAGCATAAAGAGGCAAACGTTGGCAAGTGTGTGCATTGTCTGGCGGGGGTGAGTGTGGGAGGGATCCTGGGGTTTTGGGGGGCAGTTCTTCCCATAGTTTCCCCCCCCCCCTCCTCTTCCTCGTCCTTTATCCCCGTCTCCTGGCCTCCTTTATCTGAGTGTCTGCGGCCCCTCGTTCCCACGGCGACTCGGACCGGAGCAGCGATCCACGGTAAGAGTGAACCGCCTCCGTTTCCCCGCCTCAGCATCTAAACCCACCGGCTGGTTACGACCCGTTTTCTGTTTTCTGCCTCAAATGGATGTTTTTCTCTCATTTTCACCGTCCTGCTTGAGGAGGAACACAAAATTAAACTAAAAGTCCAGAGAAGAAAACACAGAAAAGTCTGTTTTCTGCTCACAAAAGCCAGAAAGTGCTCGTTTCTCTTTACGGTTCGGCTCTTCTTTAGTCATAGAAAAACGTATTTTTGCCCATTTAT